ATATTTTTTATCTCAAAGGTCATCTTTTTTAACTAAGAATAAACAATTTTTATTTTTAAAAATAAATCTTATTTATATAAAAAGAATCATACATGAATCATAATAATCTATTCAAAATATTCAATGCATACAAATTAATTAAAAAATCACTATTTAGAAAAAAATTAAATAAACAATCTAAAAAATTAGAGAGAAGGGGTATTAATTTAAATATAAATAAAAAATATTTCAAAAAATACATAAAAAAATATAAAAATATATATAAAAAAGATCAAATAGTATTAGGTCTGGTAAGTTAAATCCGAATGCTTTGCTCATTATAAAAAAGGCACTCATATGGGCCTACAAGATTAGACTCATATACAAGTGCTTTTTTTGTTTTTGGTTAATGATTTTGACGATATGCTTTCAACCCTAAAATGTTTTGAAAAAAAATAAAAGCAAGCAATGTTTTGCTTACTTTTTCCTAGATTATAGTCATAGTAATGGCTGAAAAAAAATGATATTTTGGATTTAAAAACCCATTTTAATATATTTTTAGCTTAAAAACATTTGTAAAACACTTTAAACATGTTAATAAACTCGTATTTTTGTCTTAAACAACCAAAAAATCAACTAAGAAAACAAATCAAACCAAAATAAATAAAAAGTTCTTAAGTTCAGATCTATCATTTCAACTAAGTTTATAAGAAAAAAATACTCAAGCTAAACTCCTTTCATTGAATGGAACTCAATGATACAAAAATTGATATTTTTTGTGGGAAAAATTAATATTAATCAAGATTTTTTTTCTCTACCAATAGAATGCAACTAATTTCTTTCCTTTATCTCAAATAGACTAAAAAGTAAAAAATAAATAAAAATTTGAATTAAAGTTGAGTTTATAAAAAAATAATAATAAGACATTTGAAGTAGATGGTTTGAAAAGTTTACTAAAGGATAAATATTAAGAAAAAAAATTACAAAATCATCATTTACAATATAGTGAAACACTCCTGTACTAAAAAATAAAATTAAAAGAGGTTAAATTAAAAAAATTATTTTAAAAAATATAAAATTTCAGTTGTTTTACTATTAAAATTATAAAAATACTAAAAAAATACTAAAAAAAAAAACATTTTCTTACATGCCGGGAGGCTTGCCACTGCCACCCCCTTGTCTCGGCCACTGGAAACACTGTTACAGTCTTTGCAATGCTAATACTGTTATTCCATTGATACGTTCGAAACGAGGACAAGATTGGCATAATAAATTATTATGATTACAATATTATTTACATCCTTGTGAGGAGCTGACCACGCAACACGCGTCCTCCACTTCAGTTTTTATCCCTCAAATTAGGCGGAACTTGACTGTCGAGGAGGTGTCAGAGAATTTGCGACTTGACTTTTAAAGAGGGACAGAGAATATATTATGTTTTATTTAAAAATATATTAAAATGAAAAACAGACCAGACAAACGTGGAACTTGAAAAGGAGAAATTGGAGGTCCAGGGGGCAGGGTTTTGTATTCTAAGATTGATCATGGACTGAAAAACGTGGAACTTGAATTGAAGCCCCCACCCCTCTCGGTTCTCCAGTATTAATAAACCGAACCGATGAAAACCACATTTCTAACACATTTAAAAAAAATTTATTAAAAGTTATTTTTTTTATGATATATTTTAAATTATATTGATATATTAATCTTAAAAATAATTTTTAAAAAATAAAAAAAATATTTTAACATATTTTATTATAAAAAACACTTTAAAAAAACATCAAAAGGAAAAGGAGCTGCTGCTGGATTAGCCTCACTTTCCCAACTGAGTTAATATCCTGCTTATCAAAACTTCCTTCTTCCCTGTAACAGGAAGATTGTGCGCTGTCAAGTAATACTTCAGCTCCGTTACTGTCAAGTCCTTCAACTGCAAAACAGATCCATGAAAAGAGGGATTGTCATCCTTTAATTTAGTAACCTATATTCGAAAATTTCCTTATTCATTTGTTACAGTAAGATATTATAAATAATTTCAACAAATTATAAGCAAATAATTTCCATCAACCAATTTTATTTAGCTCATGGTGTTATCGACATATCTGTGCAACTGCGAATGAATATGCTATAATCTCCAAGTATCTCCAGTTAACATTCAAATAGGAACGACATAGCTTCCCTCCAAATCACTTGTTTTTTTATAATGACTTCAAAAAAGCTTAAAAGGAATCAGTTCTTCTGTTCCCTTTTCATCTTCCTAAATGATTTATTATGCTTAGCTTGTTTGGATGGTGCGATCCCAGAGGGAAAAAATCATTAACTTTGTAGCCCCCCATACACAAAACATGATTTATTAATGCTGTTCATTGAACAAACAAAGCCTGCAGTTTTTTATTGATCCAGATAAACACTATCATGTTTATCTTTGGGTGTGCAAGCGCTACAATGAAAGAGGCTTTTTATTGTGCCTGTAAGAAAAGGTTTTTTGATTTAATTATAAAATTATCATTAATATTTAAAAGTCGTTACTTAATATTATAGTTACTAAAAACCTATAATCTGCGAGAGTCAAGGTAAAGATTGGTTGTGCAAAGTGAATATAAATCACCATCAGTGCATCCTATCTAAGATAAGTTGCATTGTTATTTGATTATTTTTTTAAGTTGGGTTTCTATTCATTGATCTTTTCTAAAGTTCAAGGCAAATCTCTCTTCATGAGAAAATTTCTACCTTATTGGATTAAATCCTAACCGTTCTACAATCTGAATTTTAGCATCGCATTTATTTACATATTGTATCTTTAATACCTAAGGGTGTACTTTATCATGTAATTTTACACCCCACAAATATTAAATTCTACATCTGGACTCTAGAAAAAAGGCTGGAAAAAGGTTTTTGATATTTTGGCTAAATCCTAATAGATAATCATAAATTCGTTATGATATCCATTTTGCATTTTAAAACATTAAAAAGATGCAATTTTTTTTTATGAAGATATGCCTTTTTAGGTTTCATGAAGATATGCTTGGAAAATTTTTAAAATTTGGTCGTATACATAAAAACAAAATATTTTTTGTTTGTTTTAGAAAAGAGAAATTAATTTAAAATATTTTGAGAATTTTTGAAAATATTTCAAATTTTTTTTGCAATATTTTGGAGAAAATTAAGTATTTTAATATCGGATTTGTATTTTACAGTGTAAATATACAACCCGTTAATATGCAAAATGGATAGAAAAATATTTGAGAAAATCATAATTTTTTTAAAATGATTTTTGATATTTTTTGAATTTTTTTTTAATGGAGGTCGTGCCAGACTCAGCCATTTGGGCTGGGCCATAACTGGCCTAGTCCAAACCAGGGGCTAATTATTTAGCGGCTACATGCAAGAATGAATTCTGTATGCAGCAGCCACGACGAGGAAGAAATAGGCAAAGCAAGGAGGAGGAAGTTGCTTGGCGTGGAGGTCTTGGACGTGATGAGGTGGTTAGGTCGGTGGCTTAGGAGGCATCAGCTGAGGTGATGATGGCTAAAGTCGGTTGTAGGAGGAAGAAGAAAAAGTTACAGAGGAGAGAGAAAGGCTACAAGGACAAGAGAGAGAAGGTCACAATGGCTGCTCTACCACTAGTAAGGAGCTAGGTTGATGGAAATGATAGTGGTAAAGCCGGTTGTGGTGGTGGAGGTCGATGCTGATGTTGCTGTTGCAGGTGCTGAGGAAGAAAGAAAATGAAAATGGTGGGCTGATGGGTTAATGGGCTACAACAGTTGTGGAGGAAAAGAGATAACCAATCAGTGGAGAGGGAGAAGTGTGGTGGAGAGGATGGTTATCAAGTCGACGATGAGGATGGTTGTGGCTTAAGGCATGGTTGAGAAGGAGAAAGGAGAGAAAGACATTCGTAGTGGCTTATTACAAATGTAGCGGTGGCTGGCCAATGGTCTTAACAATGCGTGGTGGTGGTGGTTGCTCAAGGCAAAGTTGGAGGAAAAATGGTGATGGTGTTGGTTCCTTGTAGCGGAGGAAGAAAGAAGAAGCAGAGAAGAAAATCCACAGCGAGGAGAGGAAGGACCTCGCGGTGGCTGCCCTTATCGCTGATGAGGATTTGGGTTCGTGGGGAGGCTAAAAAGCTGTCTACTGGTGGAAGAGAGAGGTTTATGTGAGGTCTTTAACGGCTAAAAAGACGGTGGAGAGAGAAAAAAAATATGTAAAAACTAGAAAAGGCTGGTTTTTTGGCTGAATTTGGACCCAATTTTCTCCACCTGAACGTCAAATCTGCTCTTATTTATAGGGATGGAATAGGGTAATCTTGTCTTCACCAAAGAATAAATTTCAGCCCTTGATTCATTTGGGAAGGATCCTAATCGTTGGCTCAAAGTAGGCATGGTGCATTATCAAATCTGCAGCTGCATGTTGCCTGAGTTGGCCTCTTTGGGATGGTGTCATGACCGTTTCTTTGCCAGTGAGCCAGTGTCGATCATACCCAGACATAAAGGGATGTCTTATGATTTTTTTCATGCAAGTTTTATCAAATTTAGTTGATGTTAAGTACATTAAATGCAGTTGCAAAATAGGTAATCGGACTAGCTTTTCAAAAAAAAATGAAGAAGATAATGAACGGTGCAAAACAATGCATCATCTAACAAACTAAAAAAGTACCTATGTTAAATATTCATCATCAATTATCAATTATCGACGTCTATACAAATTTATACATATATAAATTTACAGAAATCACCTCCGTAATAAAATTGATAAAAAAATAAAATGGGACCGTTAAACAAGCTATTATTTATTCCATCACAACACATCTAATTCGGTGTAATCCAAACAAAATTTCAACAATTTAAAAACAAATACAATTTGATAAAATCTAAAACAAACTATAACGAACTACAAAATTATACATTCATGCTACAAGTTTCTTTGACAAATAACAATCAAACAACTACATATGTTAATAGAATATATATACTAAAAAAACAATAAAAATAATAAAATTGACATTTAAATGTTAAAACTAAAAAGGATAGATTTACTTACAAAAATGATAAAATCCGTAATAAATTTCTCGGAGAATGGATGTTGTGAGCACGTACAAAAGTATAAGAAACTTGAGTGCTTATGTTGAGAAGAGAGGGAGAGCTGGGATGGATGGTTGGTTACGGGTTAGGAGGGGAGAGTTGAGACGGGTAAGAAGAAGGAGAAATAAAGGAAAAAAGAGTCGGCAAAGTGGGTATACATTGGCTTTTACCGATGGAATCACTGATAGAATATTTTTGTCGATGATTCCATTGGTAAGTCTGCCGGTAACTGTGCCACGTCACTGTATAGAAATCCCAGTTTGAATCCCTTGGTTATTCTGCAGGTAAAATCATCTGAAAAAATTCAACGCCATCACACCGTTGCTTCTTCTCAAAAATCTATATAATCCGTCGGCAATACGGTCAGTATATACCAATAGAATGGGTCCGTCAATATATACTAACTATATTGCTGATGAAAATAGTCTGTCGGTATATACCGATAAAATTAAAGATAGAATTATGTATATCTATAAAAATTACTGATGAAAAAATTCTATCGGTATTTCCACTAGTTTTCACTGATTTCTAGTAGTGATAATAGCATGCATTCATGCTTATCAATTCATGAATTGGAGGTTGGAAAAAAAATTCAAAGATAAGTCTAAATGTATTAATGTAGTTAAATGATGCTATATCAAAATTCATTGCAGTATAAGGTCCATCGTTCAAGTAAAACTTATGTTTAGTTGCAATGCGTTCAAGAACTAAGATGTAGATGATATTTACATGGAGGATATCACTGAGGTCTAATTCATGGAAAATTTGAAAATTAAAAGGGATACACATGTCGAAACCCTCTTGTTTTGTAGCTTCATCATCAGATTGACTCAGATCTTATTATTCAAGTGATGTTGATAATTATGAAAAAAGAATATAAGTATGAGTGTTGTAATGATTCAAGGTATATTGAGAGGGATTATAAGCATGACATCACATATTAGAAGGCGTGAATGACTAATTAAAAAATATTGAAGTGGTTGTTTGGTATATGTGAAAAGTCATTTCAAAACCTGTGTAGAATGCTACTAGCCATCAAATACCCAAATCCAGGAATAATTATCATTTGGGATTATAAAATGATTGTTTGGGAGAGCATTTTAGGCATTTGGTACTTTAATTGATGAGTTTCAATAATTTTATCCTCTAATTAATATTGAGTTGTTGGTTGCAGATGCTTATGATGTGAACAATATAGTTTCTTTGTTGTGTTTTGTTATTATCAAAGAAGAGACCAGCAATAATTAAAATTAATTTTTAGATTTGCTTTGTCTATATTTAATTGGTGATCACACTAGGTTATGTATTATATCAGATAGACATGCGACGATAAAGAATTCTATGAAATAATTTTTTTCCAAGCTTATTAGATATTATCGATTTTATTCAGAATGCTTTGTGAGTAACTTTAAAAGGATCTAAACTTTGGTTAGCACAAGTTTCATTGCACTACTTCAATATTGTTGAGAGGCATTGTCTAAATCGGGTAATGTGATAATTTTATCTATCTCATCACATATCAAATTATATTGATATTAGTGATGAGTTGTTTGATATGAGTCATCAGAATAAGCGTAATGAAGACTAGTTGGTGATTCATGCTCTTATCTAAATTTTTAATATGATAGAAGGGATTATGTTTTTTAGGAGTGATATCTCATTATTGATATAGATACCTATATGAGATTGTATTTAACTATTATATGTTATTTTATTACACCTACCTGGTCTCATTTCCTGAGACCGATATCTCATTATTGATGTAGATACCTACATGATATTGTATATAACTATTATATGTTATTTTATTACACCTATCTGGTCCCGTTTCCTGAGACATCCATGTAATCCGATGCAT